CACACACACACACACACACACACACACACACACACACACACACACACCACCCTAGGTTCAGGGGATACTATATAGAGAGTTGGAAGGGATCTTAGAGATCATCTGATCCAGTTGCCTCATTTTATAGACAAAAAAAAACTGAGGCCTAGAAAAGTCAGATGTCTTGCCCTTGGCCAGAGCTAAGATTCCACCCCAGATCCTCTGACTCCTATGTCCAGGACTCTTCTCTCTGCACCACACAGAAAGTGCTTCGCAAATTTTAAATGCATATAGAGTATGTATCATTATAAATCAGCACATACCTACACTAGTCTAATTCTCCTTGGAATAAGGAGAACTGTGTTTCCTGGCCACATTTCAGCTACTTACACATCTATGGACTTACTGGGATGACTGAGAGGAGTTGTTTAATGTCCAGTCATTCTCTTGTCCAATACAGTGATTATTACCACTCACACCCTCCTTAATCTCATCAAAACTGGCTATCCATTTGTCAATTTTCCTTTCCTCTAACACACACATGTTCACAGATATATGTGAATGCATATGTTGTTGTTCAGTCATTCTGTCATGTCTGATTCTTCATGACCCTGTATAGGGTTTTCTGGGCAAAGATAACGGAGTGATTTGCCTTTTCCTACTCCAGTGGATTAAGGAAACAGAAGTTAAGTGACTTGTCCAGGGTCATACAGCCAGTGAGTGTTTGAGGACAGATTTTTAACTCAAGTCTTCTTGACTCCAGGCCTAGCTGTCTGTCCACTGATCCAGTTAGTTGCCTCCATAAGTGTATATTAAATACACACACATACATATATGTTAAATATAAACACATAATATTAAATGCACAAATCCTATGAAAATGGACCTACATACAGACATACACACACATTCTATCTCTACTTCATTTATCTTTGTTTTCCCACCAACTAGCACAATGCGTTGCATGTAGCAAATACTGGCGGGATTGAATTGCTTAGTAAAGTTCAGTGACTTGAATTGACCCTCTCCTTTTAATGTAGTAGCTTGCATTGTAAACAAGATCTTGTGTTTGCACATGATATAACATGTTTAATTTCACAAAGCTCTTTCACATAGAAGATGCCATTTGTGTCTCACCATCCCTGGTTGCCTCTAAGACTCAATCAGCTGGTTAAAAAATTGAAAGACTCAGTTCAAGTATCGCCTTCTACCACACTGACCCACAGACTACTGGTGGGCTCTCCCTCCTAAAATTTTTTATCTATTTTGTGTATACTTTTATATGTACGTGTTGTCTTCCCAAAGAGAATGTAAGCTCCATGAGGGCAGGAGCAGTGATTTTTTTCATTTTTGTCTTTGTGTTTCCAGCACCTAGCACATTATTTGGGACAGAGTAACCACTTCATAAAAGTTTGTTGTTCTGTAGGGAGGGTAACTGAAGGGTTAGAGGAATCAGCTAAGTCTGCTAACCTGAAAGCAGAGAACCATAATTCAAATTTGCCTCTGTCAGTCCCTACCTATGTGACCTTTAGTCAATGGTGTGGGTAGACAATACAATTAGCTAGTCAGCTAATAAATATTTATTAAATGTTTACTCTGTTACAGGCATTGCATTAAGTGCTGGGGATACAAAGAAAGGCAAAAGACAGTCCCTGCCCTCAAGAAGCTTATAATCTAATGGGGGAGATGACATGCAAATAACTATGTGCAAACTGTCTATATACAGTGTAAGTAGGAAATAATCAACAGAAAGAAGGCACTAGAATTAAGAGGGGTTGGGAAAGGCTTCCTGTAGAATGTGGAATTTTAGCTGGGACTTGAAGGAAGTCAGAGAAGCCAAGAAGTAGAAGACAAGAGAGAGCACATTCCAGATGATAGCCTTCCCTGACCTGCCCATACATTTTGTTCCTGACCAGCTTACCTGTGGTCATCTGGTTTCAGGAGAGTGTGTTCATTTTGTTTGTAGGACAAATCATTAAAAAGAGGTTAAGATGAGATCAACATTCTATTGATATAGAGTCAGAATATGAACTTTGGTCTTTAGATTTTTAGAATAGTTATCAGGAATCTTCTTGGTATGACTATAACATAAATATTGAATTGTTTGATAATAATAATAATCAATTACATAGCCTATTACATATGTATTATTATCTAAGATTATAAATTGCAGAGAAATTTCCACTCTGCATTGTGAGAGGTAATTTCCTTATCTGGGAACTCCATTTCCCAATTCTCTAAATTATCATTAGCTGTCCCACACACCTAGAATGTTCTCCCTCTTTGTCTCCTACTGGCTTCCTTGGTTTTCCTCAAGTCTCAGCTAAATCCCTACCCTCTGCAAAAAGTCTTTCCTGGTCTTCCATAATGCTAGTCCCTTACCTCTGATATTACCTCCAACTTATACTTTACATAACTTATTTGTACACAGTTGTTTTCATGTTATCTCCTCCATTCGATAGTGAGCTCCCTGAGAGCAGGGCCTGTTTTTGCCTTTCTTTGTATACTCAGCATTTAACATAGTGACTGGCATATAGTAGGTGCTTAAAAATTCTTGTTCACTTGACTGTACTAATGAAATCACCAGTGCAGTCCCAATCTCTAATCTTCTACATATGTGTTCAGCCATTTTTATTTTATAAAATGTGGTTTTATACGTTTGTGGACTATTAGTGGTGGAAGGGACTTTAGAAGCCTTCTAAACTCCTCTTTACAAGAGAGGAAACTAGTTTAGAGGCATGGAATGATTTGCCCAAAGTCACATGATTCTTAGGTAAAAAAACATTAATATTCTAATCCCCAATATCCTGACTTCAAGATCAGCACTATGTCTATAATATGTTGTTTTTCTATCAATCTACCTCAGTTTCCTCATTTGTAAAATAAGAGGGAGGAGGTAGACCCTTCTACCAGTAGCAGTATGTTACTGAATAAAACTAAGCTCTGTGAAGTTGGGGACCACGTCCCATATTTCTTTATAGCACTCATAGCCTCACCCAAAGGCTTTTCCCCCAGTGTACAGTAAATGAGTATCTATGTAATCAATCCATCATATGCTGAACAATAAACTGTAGCCATCCAACACTGTGATAAGACTGGGAGGAGTGTGGAGGAGAGAGAAGAACTGAGAGAAAAGCTCTTGGGGAGCTCATAACCTGCATGCAGAAAGAGAACCGACTCCTAGGAAAGAGCTCCGTGTGCCAATGTGGGGTGCTGACTAAAGCAGAGTCTTATCCTGAGGTCTGAGAGCTTTTTAACAAACATTTTTGATATCTATATTTCAATATAATTCATTTCCCTTATAAGCCTATGTATTTTATACATTTAAAAACATTCTTGTGAGAAAGGGTTCATGGGCTTCATCAGATTGCCAGAAGGGACCATGACCCCCAAAAAAGTTAAGAGACCCCAATGTAGTCCAACTTCTCAATACTTTCTACAGCATTCCTGAGAGCAGGGACTCATCCAGCTTCTGTATCCTAGTTATTTACACACACACACACACACACACACACACACACACACACACACACACAATCTATGAGTATATATGTACATATATAGTTTTATATGTATATATAAACAAATATATACTCATAGTATGTATAGTTTTTATATATTTTACATACATATAGTTTCACATATATGTGTATGTCTGTGTGTATACATGCAAATATACTCACACAGACACGTACATATACATTATAGTTTTATACATACATTTATATATATTTATGTACATATACATATAGACTCACACATCGATATACATATATAGTTGTAATATACTATGGCATCTCTGACAGGGAATCATCCAGAAGATAGATAGATAGATAAGTAGGTAGGTAGATGGAGATAGATACATATACATACACACAGATATAGTCATATAGCTATGTAGTTATAGTTATGGCTATAGTATTACATACTTTAGATGGTTCATTGAATCGAATGCCAGGCTTAGAGTCAGGAAGACCTGAATTCAAATTTGGCCTCAGATACTAGCTATATGACTCTAGGCAAGTCACTTAACCTCTTTTTGCCTTAATCCACTGGAGAAGGAAATGGTAAATCACTCCAGTATTTTTGCCAAGAAAATTCCATGTACAGCATTGGTGTGCTATGGCCCACGGGGTCACAAAGAGTCAGACATAACTGAATGACTGAACAACAACAATATGTACATATATTTTTATTTTATGCATTTAAAACATTATTCTGAGAAAGGGTCTATGGACTTCATCAGACTGACAAAGGGGTCCATGAATCAAGAAAGGTTAAGAACTCCTGGTTTAGTCTAACCTCCTAATACTTTCTGTGGTATCCCTGACAGGGATTCATCCAGCCTATATACCCTGAAATAGATAGAAAGATAGATAGATGAAATAGATAAATATATAGGCACCAAAATGTAAGTATAATTATGGTTATAATTATAAGTGCATGTTTATATATATATTTTATTTATTTAAAAACATTTTTTTCTGAGAAATGGTCCATATGTTTGACTAAACTGCCAGTGGGGTCCACAACACAAAAAATGGTTAAGATCTCTTCACTCTAGGAACAACAGGAGTTCCAAAAAGGGAGAGACACAAGGGGGTTGGAGTAGCCAGGAAAGGCTTCCTGGAAGAGGAGATCTCCAAGAATGGGTAGCATTTGGATAGGTGAAAAAGAATCATGATGTAGCTGACATTAAGAGACCTGGGTTCAGCTCCTCCCTCAAACATTTATCAGCTGTATGGTCATCAGGTATGGTCATCAGAAAGTCAATGAAACTCTCAGAGCCTTGGTTTTCACATCTGTAGAATGAGGATTACGACATTTGTACTGCCTATTTCATAGGATTGTTGTTTAAAAAGTGCTTCATTTACTACAGAAATGGAAATTGTAGTTGTCACTCACTTAGTCAATCAATCACATTTACTAAGGGTTTATTATAAGCCAGGAACCAGGCTGAGCACTGAATAGCAGTAGTAATAGCAACAGTTGTTATTTAGCGTTTTTGAGAGGCTGGGGGCTGGGTGATGTGAAGGTCAGGGGGGAAGGTGAAGGCCCAGAATGGAGAGCTAAGTTCTAGCTATGCCTTGACTTGTGACCCTAGACGAGTCCCTTAATGTATCAGTGCCACAGGCAATATTCTAAGACTGTAAGTTAAGGGAGTTTCCTGACCTGATAGTGACTGTCTGGACCCTATCATTGTTATTATTAGAAAGGGAGTAAGAGAATAACATGAACCAAGTCTCCCAGGAGCCAGGGGAGAAAATGGCACATTGAGAGAGACTGGCTAGAGCAGAGGTTTATGTGCTGGAAAGTAATAAGATGCTGGTCAAGTTTTTTTCTTTTGTCTTCTGCCTTAAATGGTACATCCCTGTGTAGTGAGGGAACTGTATAACTTCTCTCCCACTCCACTGATTTTTCTACCATTCTGCCCAGGGTTTCACCTCTAAATCTCTTCCAGCTTAACAGATCCAATGGCATGGGGTCCAGGGAGGCTCATTGATAGGTTCACTAATGGTTTCTGCAGCCATAGCAAGTAAAATGCATCTGAAGAAATTCTGAAATTCTCTCCCAACAGACAAGTTATTCACTTTATTAGTGTTGCTTTAAGTGAACAGTGGGAAATGTTGTCATTTCGGGATTTGGATTTCAGCAGGCTGTAGCTTCCCATTGCGTAGCTCATTGTTTTCATGGAGTAGAGATGGAGTACAGCATGCCTATGGTGTTTATCTCATGCCTCACATTCATTCTTGGAGCATTTTCTTACCTTGCCCCTGTGTCTGGTGAAGTCCCGAGCCAAGATGTCCTAACTTAGGGCTCCCCTAGAGCCATTCCGAAATTTTTAAGGTTTTAGGAATTCAGGGAGGCTTTCAGCCAGTCTCTCAACAGATATCTCTTTGGCCCACTACTGGGTGCTGAGTACTACATTTGTACCCCTGGAGAAACTGAAATAAATGGGAGACCATTCCTGATCTAAGGTGTTTATAATCTAGCTCAGAAGACAGGATACGGACACGTGGACTTAAGAAAAATAATAGGTAAAGTTTGGGAGGGAAGATAATGCAGTGAAAAGAACACTGGATTTGTATTTAGAGAATGGACTAGAGTTCAAAGCCTGGAAGTGTGGGACCTGAGGAAAGTCACATACCTCTCTTGGGCCCAGCTTCCACATCTGGAAAATGAGGAGATTGGATGAGTTGATCTCTACAATCTATCCCCCCTTGAAATCTAATGATTCTAGCACCATCTTCCTCCCACTTGGTTTCCTGTACTACTGAATGGGGCCATTTAAAAACTATTCCAGAGCTACTTGTCTAGTTTCTTATTCATTCATTCATCCAACTTAAAAGTAGCATCAAATCATCCCATGTTCTCATTCTACCCAGGCATCATGCCCACATATCCTCACATGCTCCTTCCCAATCATCCCAGCCCCCGGTCTCTATCATTCTCCAAAGCCAGGGATGTTTGGTCTCATCTCTAATGTTTCATTTATAATTATCCCACCAGCTCTTCCCTCAGTTCTATCTCTCCTTCATGCAAAAATGAATAATCATCATAATAGGGGGGGAAAAGCTTACACTTAGAATAACATGATTTATAATGTAATATCCCCAACAGTGGGGCAGCTGTGTAGCACAAGGGATAGAGTGTTGGGCCTAGAGTCAGGAAGACTGATCTTCCTGAGTTCAAATCTGGCCTCAGACCCTGAGCAAGTCACTTAACCCTGTTTACCTCAGTTTCCTTATTTGTAAAAATGATCTGGAGAAGGAAATAGCAAAATTCTCCAGTATCTTTGCCAAGAAAACCCCAAATAAGGTCACAAAGTCAGACATGACTGAAACGACTGAATAATAGCAAAAACCCCAACATAGGATCATCCAGTGTCTCCTTGAAGTCTTCTCATGGCAGCAAACTTAGTCTTCAAAAAAACATTCTATTATACCTTTAGACCACCCTAATATTAGGATGTTTTTCCTTACATCAAATAAAAATCTGCTTTCCAATAAGTTATACCCAATTGTTCTAATCCTACCCCTTGGGGTCAAGCAAAGGAATGAATGAATGCAGGCAGCTGGGTGGCACAGAGGATAGGGCTCCATGAAGATCTGGGCATGCCTGAATGACAACAAAGATTGCATTAGTTTTTTTGGCTAACATGCCACACTGTTTACTCATGTTGAATTTTTAGTCCACTAAACCTCCAGGCCCTTTTCTGCTACTAATGATAATAATGACAATAGAGATAACTAATATTTATGACATACTTTTAAATCTACAAAGTATTACATGTACATTATCTCATAATAGTAATAATAGCTAACATTTAGATAGCATATTAAGGCTTGCAAAGCCCTCCTTTACATTCATTATCTTATTCGATTTTTGCAACAAACTTCTAAGGTAGTCACTACATTTTCTATTATATTATTATCTACATTTTGAAGATATTGAAACCAAGGCTCAGAGAGGTTAAATTGGTTACCCATGGGGATATAGTTATTAAATATTCCAACTGGGATTTAAACCTCCAGATCCCAAGTCCAGTGGTCTTTTCACTATAACATGCTTCCTGTCTCCTCTATTCCCTGTCCCCCCTGCAATTGATCTTTTAAATTCCAGGGTAGGCCTCTTCTGGTATCACTTGACCTACAGTTATAAGCCTATGTCATGAGGAATTTCATCCTTCTTCCAGGATCCAGTGAGGCTAGTGGAAACTGGGGCCTCTTGGATCAGGTAGCAGCTCTGACATGGGTACAGGCTCACATCTCCAGCTTTGGTGGAGATCCCCGTCAAGTGTCCGTGGCAGCAGATCGAGGTGGTGCTGACATCACCAGCATCCACCTGCTGACGACCTCTGCTAGCTCAAGACTCTTTAGAAGAGCAGTACTGATGGTGAGTACTATTTTTCATCTTTGACCTCAATCTCAAAGTTTGGTCCTTGGTTTCTCAGATCCCTTATCTGCTTAAACAAGTTTGTTTTAAATTGATGATATGGGTGGGGTTTGGGAAGGGGGAAGGTGTGATGTAAGAGGGTAAGAGGGGTAGTTGTACCCTTGACTTAAATAGAGTCTGTTTTTTCTTAATTTTTCTTAATCTATTTTTAATTATTATTTATTTTTTTTAAATTTTATTTATTTATTTGTTTTTAGTTTTCAACATTCACTTCTGTAAGATTTTGAGTTCTAAATTTTTTCCCTCTCCCCAAGATGGTATGCAATCTGATATAGGCTATAAATAATGTAGAATCATATTAAACATATTTCCACATTAGTCATGTTGTAAAGAAGAACTAGAACCAAAGGGAAAAACCACAATAAAAAAGAAACAAAAACAAAAAAAAAGAGAAAATAGCATGCTTCGATCTGCATTCAGACTTTAAATGGAATCTATTAAGGGATGAAGGTAACCTGGCCCCCTAGATCATGTGATTCACAGGATGCTTCAGGACTCATCTGAAAACATACCTTTTTTTTTTTTTTCCTCAATGGCCTGCTTGAAAAAAGTCCTTCCTAAGGAACCTTGTATTTTAATAGCTGAAGTTATAATGTTGTCTAGGAGGTGGGGGTCACATACTGAAAACTTAAGACATATTAAGGAAGAAGTTTTTTAACCTGAGGCCTGTGAACTTAAAATAAAAATTATATACTTTGACAACTGAATTTCAATATAATTGGTTTCCTTTGTAATCCTATGTATTTTATTGCATGCATTTAAAAACATATTTCTGAGAAGTAATCCATAGGCTTCCCCAGACTTCCAAAAGGGTGTAGCAATAAAAGGTTCAATAACCCAAGAACCCGGGCCCTAAGGGAGTAGTTTAGTGGCCAATCTAGTGAAATTTGTTGCTACCATCACAAGTAATACAATGAGGTTTAAAGAAATGTGCTGGGGAAAAGGTCATGAACACAGCAGCGTAATTTCTTGCTAAAAGGTGTTCTGTGGAAGTAGAAGATAACTCGGGCTATCAGGGGACTCTTAGACTATCAGGAAGATAGACCTAAGCTATCAGGCATGAGGGGATTAGGGGCACAGGCTTTCATATTCATTGAAAAAAGGAAGGGAGAAGAGACCCTGGAACCAAATACAGCCTATTTCATGCTTCTCCTTACTACCAGCCTTGATCTCATCCTTCATATCTTTAATCCTTATTTAGGATACCTGGTTTCAAAATGGTCTGGTTTTTGTTTGTTTAATTCTGTTTTGAGTGGGATTTAATTCTGAAATATGGGGATATTTAACAAATCTTTACTAATGCCATCAAACTTCTTCTTCCTCTGCACATAGGAATGGCGTGAGTTGTCAGGGGGCAGAGGGAGGTGCTGACATCTTTGTTCTCCCTGGAATGGGGCCCCAGAACCCCGTAGCATTACCCAGTTAGGAGCAGTGGTGGGGAGATGGAGGGGAGAGAGGGGGAATGGGGGAAGGAGGTTGGTGTGTACCGAGGAATGGCCTAGAGAAACTTTCATAAAGACAGACTTTCTCTTCTGCCGACATTTTAGTCATTTAGACATTTAGTCATATCTCTAAAATCGAAAGTTCTATTGTGAAAAACAGAAGCTCTTTCATGGGGGATATTTTTTTTTTTCTAAGAGAAGTCAGGTTGTACGGCTCCTGTACTAACACAGTTGCTCAAGGAATGTGTAGAAAGGCAGAGTGTAATAAGTGCTAGAACTGGAGTCAGGAAGAACTGGGTTGGAATCCTGCTTTCACTACTTACTAATTGCATGGCCCTGGGCCATTCACTTAACAATCTTAGTTTTCTTATCTGTAAAATGGGGTTAATAATAGCCCCTATCTAGCAGGGTTGTTGTAAGAACTGATGTATAAAGATATATATAATATATATATATATATATTATATACACATACACATACACACATATGTATGTTTATATGTATGTATATGTATGTATGTGTGCATGTATATGTATGCATGTATATGTGTGCATATATGTATGTGTGTGTGCATGCGTGTGTGTATGTTTACACACACATATACATATGCATATATATATCTCACTTTGCAAACCTTAAAGTACCATATAAATGTCAGTTGAGTCTCAGCTGAGTTTTGTTGTTGTTGTTGAGTCATTTCAGTCATGTCTGACTTTTCATGATCCCATTTGAAGTTTTCTTGGCAGAGATATTAGAGTGGTTTGCCATTTTCTTTTCCAAATCATTTTACATATGAGGAAACTGAAGCAAATAGTGTTAAGTGACTTGCCTGGGGTCACACTGCTAGTCAGTGTCTGAGGCTGGATTTGAACTCAGATCTTCTTGACTCCAGGCCTGGTGCCCTATCCACTGAACCACTAAACTGCCCTCCCAGTTGAGAAGCCTGCTAACAATATAAAGTGTGTCTGATATCATCCATATCTGCAACTTGTGTCCTGGTTGGCTAGAACTTGATCTTAATGAGACCAACACTGTGAGTTAAATCAAACCCCTAAAGGCTGATTGGGGCTGCTCTGTTTCATTGCCATAGGCCGTATTCCAAGTTCTGACCAGCCTTCTTGTAGATCTATACCTTTGGTTGTGAGAAAGTTTGGATGACTTGAGCACAAAATCATCATCACAACCCACAGAGACACTTCAAAAATGTCTTGACTGATGGAGAATCAGTCAGTGACACCATGTTTCCTAACATGATGGTGGAATAAGAAGCATACTGGATTAAGGGTCACAGGATGTGAACTTCAGCTCTCAGCTCTATTACTCATGACTCGTATGACCTTGGACAAATCATTTCAACCCATCTGTAAAATGATGACCAAAGTGGGTTGAAAATTGGTTTGGATTCAATTTCCTCAAAGATGTGTCCAGCTCTAAATCCTATAATCAGTAATGTAGAGGTTTCAGAACCTCTATGTCTGAGACGTTGGTGTAGATTTCCCCCTTGGGAATTGCATTCTTGGTGTCAACATCTTTGAGAAGGGGCCTTTCTTAACACTGCACACCAAAAGAGTCTTGAGATAAAGACCTTCAACTGTATAAACACCAGTGCCTTTTATACCTTCAACTCTACACTAGGAACTGACAAATTGGCTAGGACAATTTGAACACTTTCACTGTTTTTCCAGCCCCCATTCGTCTCCACCCCTTATAAATCAGACATTCACCAGGACACAGAGGCCTTTCTTTCTAAACTACCATCTGATGGATCCAGAAGGAAGGATTTTCTTTCTGAGTCTGTAGGTGGTTGGGGAATTTCATTTAATAATCTAATGACAGTGGTGCTTAAAAAGAAATTCATTCATTGGTTTTATCCATTTAACAACAGCTATTAATAGATCAGTGCAAGCAGTTATTAAGACAGACGTGAAAGCATTTATAGTGAAGTGGACGAAAATTATTGATCATATTAGTAGTTCTTAGAAGCCTTTTTGCAGGCAACAGATTTTTAGAAAAAAAGGGTGAGAATTGGTAATAAATGAGTAATTGATAGTAAAAATGATCAACTTTCAACTCTTGTTTGTTTGTTTTTTTGTTTTTTTTTTTTGTTTTTGAGGCAATAGAGGTTAAGTGACTTGCCCAGGGTCACACAGCTAGTAAGTGTCATGTGTCTGAGGCCAGATTTGAACTCAGGTCCTCCTGACTCCAAGGCTGGAGCTCTATCCACTGCGCCACCTAGCTGCCCCCAACTCTTAACTCTTTCTGATGAATTTAGGGTCTAAACTATATTTATATATAGTTTATATATATATATATATATATATATAAACTGCTGAAGCAGTGAACAAGAGACTTATTGGTGTTTAGCTACTCATGAGACAGCTTACATGAAAGTTAAGGTGCATGACATTTCCCCCCATGTCCTAAAATTTGAGGCACAAGGAAGAGAGTATTGCCAACTTTCCCATTAATAGTGAAACTTCTCCAACTCTGAGAGCTCAAGAAATGGAATGGTCTGCTTTGGGTGAGGATAATGCGCTTCTCATCACTAGAGATCTTCATGTGAGGGTCTGATGACCCCTTGTTGATGGATTGGTAAAGGGTACTCCTATTCAGGTACAGGTTGGACTCTGAAGTACCCCCCAGTTCTGATAGTCTGTGATTCTATGATGCCTTGCTCTCTTGACATTTACTTCCTTTCAGCTGCCTTGTTGTGGAGGTGGAAATAGTCTTAGCTTTAGTGGTATGATCTAGGGGATTCAGAAAGCAACATTCATCCCCAGAAGTTAATACTTTTTGTTCAGGGACCTCGAAGGAGATAGTGTAAGTAAAGACTTTTGTGACCCTTTAAATTTATGTAGATATCATCTAGAGAAGCAGATGGTATAGCAGATGGAGAAATGGCCTCAATGATGGAAATATCTGGAGTTAGCACAATGCCTGGTACATAGTAGGCCCTTAACAAATGTTTATTTTCTGATTGGACAGCTGAGTTTTTAAAGATGATGTTGATACTAACAGTTCAAAGTCCCCATGTCTGACACATACTGTCTGTGTGACCCTGGGCAGGTCCCATAACCTCTCATTGCTCTTGGCAACTCTCTTATCTGTTACAGAGAAGACATTGATGTATTTTAGCAGGAGTTTCATCTGGGAGTTCCTCATAATAGTCAGGCAACAAGCGTTTATTAAGATCCTATTAAGTAGTACCTATTAAGGTATTACTATGTTTATTAAGGTCTTAAGGTCAGGCACTGTGCTAAACACAATGGATACAAAGAAAGGTAAAATATGATCCTTGAGTGGAGATGCTTACAATCTGATGAGGGAGACAACATTCAAACATGTAAAAACCAAACAGCTTTACACAGAACAAATAGGAAATAATCAACAGAGGGAAGGCAATAGAATTAAGAGGGTTTAGAAAAGGCTTCCATACTAGGTGGACTTTTAGCTGGGACTTGAAGAAAGCCAGTAGGCAGAGGGGAAGAGGGAGAACATTCCAGACAAGAGGGACAGCTAGTGAAAAGTCCCAGAGTCCAGAAATGGAGTGTCATGTTCGAGGACCAGCAAAGAGGTCAGTGTCCCTGGTTCTGGTTGTACATGGGAGTTGGGAGGGGAGTGAGGAGGAATAAGATGAGAAAAGGCTGGGGAGGGGGAGGGGGAGGGGGAGGGATGGAGATTTTATATTTGATCCTGGTGGTAGTAGGGAGCCATTGGAATTTATTTAGTAACAGAGTGACATGGTTGGACCTATACTTAAGGAAAATCCCTTTGGCAGTTGTACATTATATGAATCCTGCATATACGACAATTTTTGGTTTTTGTTTGGGTGTATCCCCGTTAGGATGTGAGTTCCTTGAGATCAGGAATTGCCTCTTGCCTTTCTTTACATCCCTAGCACTTAGTACATTACCTGGCACATATTACATTCTTAACATTTGTTGGCCAACTAACTGATGCTCTCACAGGAGCAACCCCCATGACCAGCGTCACTGAGAAGTGAGAGGCAGCTGTGACCACTCTAGGCTCCAACAGCCAAGCACAGACCTCCTTCAGCTGTCTATCCCAGCTTTCAATGGCATCAGCATGGATGTTATGAGAACACCAAGACTTTGGAGTTGGGCATAAGGAGTTCATACAATTATAGATTTTAGAGCTGGGAGGGATTATCTTAATTTCTCACTTTCTGTCATCAACACCACCCCAAAGAAACGGAGTTGCAGCAAGTTACAATGACTTGCCCAAAGACACCCATTGAGTTAGTGATACAACTGACACTGGATCCCAGATCTCCTGATTCCCAGTCTAGAGCTCTTTCCACCTTACAAAGATGCTAGGAGAAAGAAAGACTGGTGTACAAAAAGGAGGTGGGAAGGTAGGTTCAAAGGACCAGCTTTGGTTAATGTCACAATTTTGTCAAAGTCAAGCCTTGCTTCATGAACAGAAGAATGATCTAGCTCCCAAGATCACTATTGTCATTACTTATTCATCTTGCTTTATGCTTTACCTATCGCCAAAACAGATCTAAGTTAACTATTCTCACTCTTAAGATTCACTTGCAACCTTGAATCCTCACTGAAAACTTCTCAACTTTGAAATCACCAGAAGTCTTTAGTTCAATGTCAAGCCTAGACATCCATCTGAGAGTGCCATTCTGTATATCAGACCATCTGGCTAACGAGATTAAGATAGACTTTTATGTGCCATGCCACACTACTGTACTCACCACTCTTGATAAACCAATTATAGCCTCATAGACACATTCCTAGATCAATAGAGCTGGAAAGAAGCATAAGCATAAAATGATAGAGCTGGAAGGTACCTGAAATATCTTTAAGTTCAACTCTTTCCTTTTCTAGCATTGGAAACTTAAGACAAGAAAGGTTAGGTTGCCTGCCCAAAGTCACATGCCAAGATGATAGCAGGGCCAAAAGTATACCTTGAGTCCCCTGACTTTCAGTCCACTACTTTTGTTTGGACTCTCATTCTTTTACATTGCCATGGCTCCGTCTCTCTGGAAGCATGTTTATATGTTCTCCCATAATTTTAAAAATCAGCTTCCAAAAAGCCTGAAATCAAGTTCATCAATCACTGCCCAAGCATTGTATTGTGTATTTCAAGCATGAAATATTTATTACAACAATTTAAATCAAGAATAAATACATGATTTAGCAATGTGTAATGCTAATGTTAGAATTCCCCCCCGTCTCTCACATACACACACACACACACACACACACACACACACACACTCACACTCCCTCAAGCATTTCAACTGCATGAATCACAAATTGAAACAATACATTAGACTCTATACAAACCTCTGGAGTTCTGGAGGGAGGTCTCCTTGCTTGGCAAGCAACGCCAATGTCCACAATGGTATATTCAGACTCTGTAACATGGTTGATTATTTCAAACAGCCTTTGTGCTCTGCTCTGAAAATGCACACATATCTATGCCACTGCTGTGATGATCTAAGATCTCAAACATGCCTAGAGTAAGCATTACAGACTTTTGTTATCAGGCTAGAGACAACGCTCACAAATTCTTTCTGTCCCTTTGAAACTGGGAAAAATGAGTAATGCATTTATCCCACAGGCCTAGCAGTCCCTGGAGAAGAGTTTCTCTGCTCCTCTGACTCTGGTTGGGTATGCCATAAGGAACCCCTTGGACCCTTAACCTTTCCCAAAGCTCTGTTTTTGAGTCTTAAGGTTCCCAAACCATTTGAAGGAGCCACCAGATTTGATAAATTTTTTCTTTACCTATTGCTTCATGTCCATTCAGGGCAGATTTTCAGGAATAGAGAAAGGGTCTTTTGTGTGTGTGTGTCCAAGAATACTAGCCTCATAAAGTTTACAACTAGAACGGACCTTTCCAATCTACTGGTCCATTCTTCACTTTATAGCTGAGGCCCACATTGCCTGAGTCACACGGGCAGTCCATGGTAGAGCTGGGATTCAAACCCAGGTCTTTAGATTCTCAATCCAGTACTCTTTACACAATACCAATTTCTTGAGACCTTCTTTTGTCAAGGTGATTCTCCTATTGATTTTCTCATACCTAGTTCTCCTGGCCCCTGGGCCTTTCCAGGTTCTGTGTTGAATGGGATGATCTCAGCAGTTCCCCTCAGTTCACCCTCCCTAAGCATTTGCAGGTAACACTAAGAGAGGGTCTGCCCAGGCCTGGAGTCAAGGAATTCCAAAGCTAGAAAGAGATCTGCACAACCCCTTACACACTTGGCACATGAGGAAACTGAGGCTCAGAGAATTAAAGTGACTTGTCCAGAATCACACAGTGAGCAGAACCAGGGCATCCTCGGTTCATTCCCAATCAAAACTGAGCCCCATCTTCAAATCGTCATGTCCAGCGTACCCATGGTCTGACTCTGAAGAAGTCTTTGCAACAAAGGTCCCATCTAGTGTTACTGAGCTTCCATACACTGACTTTTAAAATAAGATTGAAGCCAGGAAGTCTTCATGTGGTGTTTTTAAAAAGATCAACTCAGTGGAAAGTAGCAAATCCAGACCTTCTGTTGTTCTGGATAATTTCAGTCTGGATCACAAAGTTTAAAACATTTCTATTGAGAGAGTCTTTGTCCATGCAGTCTCTCATCTTTCTTTCTTGTGTATTCTCCCCCCACTCTCTCCCTCCCTCTCTGTCTCTGCCTCTCTCTCTCTCACACACACACACACACACTCACTCACTTCTTGTGATCCAGTGTATGACTAAGTTATAATTTAACATATAGTAATATCTACAGTACTATCTAGCCACCAGGAGATATTTTCCATTTTGTTGACATGTGGGAAATTAGGGGACTGGTGGGGAGTGGGGTGCAGATAGAGAGTTTAGGCATCCATGCGTCCATTCTTTCTCTGCTTCTGGTTGCTGGGAGATCCTCAGCAGCCCAAGGCCTCATGGCTACATGGGTGATCTGAGGTGAGAATTCAGTCCTGTGTTCCCTTGTGGGTCATAGTCTAATCTTCGAAATACTGAGGAGCAGAAAACAGGGCACTCTTGCGCTTGCTCCCAGTATATATCAGAGAATGGCTTTTCTTCTTCCGGTCATTGGTAAAGGAAGAGCCATCTTCTCCTGCCAGGGAGAGGTAAGAGGCGATACTTTCCCGGAGACCATAGCTGAAGAGTGACTCATCCATTTCCAGAGGGTTTGCTTCTCCATCAGGACCAGACTGCACTCTGCATATGCATGGACAGGTAGAGGAGGTAAAAGTGAGAAGGACGAGGGAGAGAAGGGATGAGAGAAGGAAAGAAAGACTTGATTAGTTTTTCAATTGACTTATTAACATAGCAGTCCTAATGTTGATAAAGACCTGATTTGGCTGGTCATTAGCCATGGGCACCTGAGCAAGAAATCTTACTTCCCTGGGCCTCATAAGAGCATAGATTTAGAGCTGGAAAGAGACAATAGAAGCTATCTAGCTCTCAAGTTACAGATGAAGAAACTGAGAGTCAGGGAAGTTAAATAATGACTTGCTCAAAGGCCTACAAATACAATAAGAGAATCAGAATTCACACCCAGGTCCTCTGATTCCATATGCAGCTCTCTTCCCATTGTAGTACACTTCCTCCCAGTCTCATGGAAGCAAAGTCATAGAAACAAAAGTGATAGAAGGGACCTTACACATCATCTCATTTAGCTTCCTCATAAGCTTCTTGCCTTATCTCAGTAGGGTCCAGGCAGTGGTATAGTAGAAGCAGCTCGTACCTCTCATGAGAGCAATTATTAAATTTTCAGTGTGAGTATTTACACTCTGGAAATTGGCCAATGCTACAAATTAAGGCTTAATTTATTGTTTTGTAGGTTGTCTAGACTTAAGAAAGTGATGGAAAAAATGTTAATGATACAGATTAAATTTAAAAATGTGTCCTGTGCACAATTTCTTTCTTTCCTGGAAAGCCAGTTACTAAACATTTTCCATCACATCCCTGGGCCAAGGCCTCCACCCTACTTTCTGCAGTTTCCATGTTATAACCCTACTCTCTCACCATCTCCATCCCACCAAAATTTTGGACTCCACCCCTAGCTCGCCTCTCTCTGATAGATCAACTTCTTATTGGGCCCTGGCCTCCATCCAACTTCTCAAGGTCTCATCACCTGTCTATCTACCTATTAGCTATCTCTTTCTCTCTATCATTTATCTCTATCTCTCTATTATCTATCTTTCTATGTATCTATCATCTATCTATATGTCTGTCTGTCTGTCTCTCTAGCTCATCTATCTATTTCTATTATCTGTCTCTCTCTTTCTCTCTCACTTAGGCTGCTAGGTAGTGCAGTAGATAGAGTGCCAGGCCAGAAGTCAGGATGACTCATCTTCCTAAGTTCAAATCCAGCCTCAGACACTTAATAGCTATGTACCCCAGGGCAAGTCACTTTACTCTGCTTGCCTCAGTTTCTTCATCTGCAAAATGAGCCAAAGAAGGAAATGGCAAACCACTTCATTATTTTTGCCAAGAACACCCCAAATGAGGTCACAGAGTCAGACACGATGGAAATGACTGAACACCAATAAACAATATCTATCCATCTACCTAACATCTGTCTATTTTATATCTACCTACATGTCAACAATATCTACCTATGTATCATCTAATTTATTTATCTTCCTGTGAAGAAAGGGGAAATTATTTGTCCACAGCCACACAGCTAATTAAGAACAGAGATAGAATTCTAACCTAACTTCACCTAGCACAGTGCCTGGTACATAGTGGGTGCTTAATAAATGTTTATTGATTGATCCTGAATCTTTTCCCTTTAAGTGCAGTGCTCCATTCCTTACACCGTGTTTCCTCATCTGACAATGAGAAGGTTGGATTGAGGTCCAGAGAGAAAGGTGGAATGACTTTTCCAAAGTGAGAGAGCCAGTTTGCAGGTGCTCTGGGAGCAGAATTCAGCTCACCTACCTGCCAGGCCTGGCTCTCCCTATCTCACCATACCACATTGTCTCCCCCTCCCCTTGTAACCTAAGGTGCCGTTTAATACTCTCCACTAAAAGCTTTTTCCCTTGACCTCGTCATTCTATTTACACAAAGAAATGCTACCTGGCAGCATTTTTCCAGTTGAAATTTTTCTGGCGCATCACGACTGGTGATCCTGAGGCCCTCTCCGTATTGCCGGTTGTACATTGAGTTAAGCAGGGTGTTGTGAGCACACAGCAGAGCCCGTCAGCCACCTCTGAGGAAGGAGACACAAATATCCAAAGGGTTAGCATGTATCAAAATTGTGAAGCAATAGAGGAAGGACACTTTGTGGGCACCAAGCATTCAATGCCCGTTGTCTTTGGATTGTCACATCTGTAGTGAAGTACCTGGTGCAGATATTCTCTCCATTTTACAGATGAGGAAATTAAGGCCAGAGAAGGGAAATAACTTGTCTGGATTATCAGTTAGTAAATGGCAGAAGCAGAAATTTAATTCCGGCTTCTGACTCCAACTCCAGCATTTTGTACCCCATATTGCCACCCAACTAAATGACGTCAACGAAGCAGGTCTAATAAGTTCATTGAACTAGGGGACCATAGAATATGAGAGCTAGAAGCAGTCTTTGAGATCACCTTGTTCAGGGGCAGCTAGATGGCACAGTGTATAGAGCACTGGCCCTGAAGTCAGGAGAACATGAGTTTGAATCCGGCCTCAGACATTTGACACTTACTACCTGTGTGACCCTGGGCAAGTCACTTAACCCCATTGCCTAGCCAAGGGGGAAAAAAAAGAGATCATCTTGTTCGATTCACTGATTTTTTTAATTGTGGTGCCCGTGAATTCATTATACTTAGGAGATCAGAAGGAACAGACCCAGACAAGTGAGGGAGGAAGGTAAAGAAATATCTTTACTTCTATTCCAACCATTTTCAAAGAGGACAATAGTTAAATTAAGTAGTTTACTTTTTTTCCATTACTAGTACTGGGCAGGACCTAAATTCCTATATCATTTAAACATCTGGACTTACTAGGTCCTTCATCATTCCAGGAACATTTAAAAATAATATTCTGTCATTCCAAAGCCCTGGGTTAGTCTGTTCCATTATTTGAAGGAAAGGAGTCTGGCTCCATCTTATTAAGTATGTATGGATTCCAGGAAATAGCATATGTCTTTTTTTCCAGGCAAAAGATCAACATAGTCTTAATGTAAACACTTAGAAGCCAAATACTTGGGTGTCTGAGTTATTGCTGTCCATTTACATCACTAAACTCTGCCCTGGCTTTGAAGCTAAGCTATCGCTGCTCTTTAGTAAGCAAACACATTCCCAATCTGATACAACATGTGTTTCTTCTTTATATTTATCGAGTGCTATCAGTGACCTTGCTATGGAGGTAGCCAGGTGACATGCAAAGAGAGCTGGACTTGGAAATAGATGCCCTTGATTCAGATCATGGCTCTGAGGTTTACTAGCCATGTGACCATGGTTAAGACATTTAACTTCTCTCAGCTTCAGTTTCCTCATCTATCAAATGAGGAAAAATAATACTTCTTCTATCTACCGTATAAGGCCTTTGTGAGAAAAAAATATTTTCTAAACCTATAGAAACATGACCTTCCTATATAGAATGTAACTGATGTATGTCCAGATTTCGAGAGGGGTGAACAACTGTAGGAATAGCTTCCACATCTAATATTAATGGCCAATGTCTCTAGCCAAGAAATATAAGTTTTGGCCATGACGTTCCAGTGAAACTGAATTGGATTTGATTTTTTTTTTCAGCCAAAAACAAGGTTTATTGAAGATTCTCCATATTAGCTAGACTCTTAAGGAATCTGAGCATCTGTGGGCTATTGACTAGATTGTGAAAATCTGACAGTGGCTAGATTCTAAGAATCAGAGCCTGGATTTGATTCTTTAATAATGATTTGTCATGGGCTGAAAATTCAAATGACTTTCTGGTTCTTAAGTGAGGGAGAAGAAGTCTTGACATTCAAACTAAAGAAATTATTTGTAGAAATTTGATCAGGATTAAGGAGAAAAATGATTGTGAGACCAGTGCTTGTTCTTATAGAGGATAGTACTTGGAGCAACATAGAATCTTTTCTAAAAAAAGGCCTATGTAGCATCAGGGCATAGGGATTGGGACCAGACCTGTGATTTTGTTGGCGTAAGGAACTTCCAGGTGAGGGAAACTCACTCTATCAATGAGGGTTGGCATTTTCTTTGCAAGTTATCATCTTAGAGAGTTGCTAAAGGAATGAGAAGTTAGGTGGCAAATCCAGTATATGTCCTGGCTTTGAGGGTGATACTTGGAGTCACGAAGAGCAGGAGGGCATACCTCCCACCATGCTCTCACCCCCAAGTACACTGGCTCATAAGGGATTTGCTTTTTTCTTTTTCTTTTTTTTTGAGAAACAAATTTCTGTTCATTCCTTTAAGAAAAGCATAGTGCTGGCAAAAGCTTACAATCTTTATGCCAATTTCATATCACCTGCCATAAAATGTAAAAACTGGAATGACAGAATTTTAAATCATAGAACGTATATTAGTGCCAGAAGGGACCTTACAATATGGAAGGTTAGAATATAGAATATCTATTTATTCATTCATTAAATCTGTCATGGGTTGAAAATTGAAGTGACTGGGTTATTAAGCATGGGAGAGAAAGTCTTGATATTCAAGACAGAAAAAATTAACTGAGCAATATATTATCAGAAAGAAAAAGAAAAAGATTATGAAGTCAACATTTATACTTATAGAGGACAATAGAAATGTCTTCTCACTTTATGTCAAATACTATTTTAGGCCTTAGAAGTTGAAATAATTTAGATTTCTTGGTCCAGAAAGGGATAAGTCATGAACACAGATAAGAACCTTACAAAATGTTATATAAGTACAATGCAGAGTTGCGAAGCAAGGCTTTACACGTGTAGTAGAGAATGAACTTGAAGGGACCTTAGGGAACATTTCCTCTAATTCCTTCATTTTGAATTTGGTGAACTTGTGGCACAGGATGGGAAGTGCCTGGCCCAACGTCAGACAGCAAATTAATGGAGAGCAAGAATTAGACCCCAAATTTCCTGAGCTCCACTCTTGTTCTCTTACCCCTAAACCCCACTGCCTTCAGTGGATCCTGAATTTTTCAGACGCTCACACTTTTTCATTAGTGTTTCAAAGATAAAAGAATAACTACAAGATGTCTTTGACATATACCATACCAGCAATCCTCAAAGTGTGGTCCAAGGATAACTGGAAGTCCTCAAGACCCTTTTAGGAGGGTCCTTGGAAGGATCAAAACAATTTCTGTAATAAGAGTAAGGTATTATTTACCTATTAAAATACTCCTCCCTCTTCCAACTACATAGCTTTATGAGGCCAAATTTTCTTCACATACTTCAACCAAAACAACATATTACAACAAATTGAATGCAGAAGATGACATAAGAATCTGTCTTCTATTAAACCAGACATTAAAGAGATTTGCAAAAACATGTAAAACAATGCCATTCTTCTCACTAATTATTTTTTGCTTTGGAAAATAGTTACTTTCATGAAATATTTAATTTATGTTAACATGTAATGGATTTGTTATTGTTATTTTAAATTTTTTTCAGTTTTCATTTCTAATATGGTAAATGTTGATAGATATAACCCACATAAATAAATGTTCTTTGGAGTCCTCAATAATTTTTAAAAGTATGAAATAGTACTGAGATCAAAATGTTTGAGAGCTGTTTTTCTATGCTATGCTTAGTATAACCTGGCCCCTTACTACCTTCTTACCCATTACTCTCCTCCATATACTCAGTGATTCAGCCATACTAGGTTTCTTACAGTTCTCTACATGGGATGCTCCATTTCCTATCTCCATGCCCTTGCAATGGCTGTCCCTGGTGGTTGGATCCATTCCTTCTCACTGTGATTTCTTGGAATCTCTGATTCCCTTCGATTCAGCTCATGTGCTATCTTCTATATGAGGTGTTTCCTGATCCCCTCCCCCAAGCTGTGAGAACTCTCTGTCCCATAATGCTTACAAAATGATCTTGTATTCATTCTGAGCATTATGTGCATACTTGAGGTAGCCTGATGTAGTAGAGGGCTGTTCTTGAAGCCAGGAAGATCTGGGTTCAAGTGTGTGCTTCTGAGCCATACCATGTGACTGGTAACAAGTCACTCAATCTCTGTGCTTGAAGAGATGTAGATTTGAATTGGTAGGGGGACAGCTTCCTCATCTGGAAATTCACTATACAAATTAAATCACTGGTTCAGATCCTACCCTATTGTATATAATGATAAATATTCTTGTGGTCTCTCTCTTTTGAATATTAGCTCCCTACATGTAACTGGGGAAAAATAAAATATTATGTTCAAAAAATAGACTATAAATTCCTTGAGGGCAAGGAAAATTTCACTTTTGTCTTCATATCACCAGACCATAGTACAGTGTCTGGCACACAGTGGTACTTAATAAATGCTTGCTGATTGAATAATAATAACAATAATAATGATAGCATTTATATAACTCTTTAAGATTTATATAGTGCTTTTTCTACATATATAGTCCCATTTATCCTCATAATGACCCTATGAGGTAGGTGCTATTATCCTTGTGTTAGCACAGTGCCTGGAACATAGTAGGTATTTAATAAATGTTTGTTTATTGCTACAGATGAGGAAACTGAGTCTGAGAGGTTAAGTGTTTTGCTCATGGTCATGTAGCTAGTCAGTGTCTGAGGGAGGATTTGAACTCAGGTCTTCCTGCTCCCAAGGTCAAGTTTTCCTGACTACAAGTCCAGCACTCTATCCACTACATAGATTTATTGATAATGGCTACTAGTGAAATAAATGGATACTCATGAGATAATGGATGTGAACATTCCATTAAAAGCAATAAGAAACCAGCGAAACAAATGTATCCTGGCACATTTTGTTATACATGTCTTTCACGTGTTTATCATGTATCATGTACTAGAGTTTATCTGTATTTGTTTCTTATCCTCTTCCTACACAGTAAGCTCCTTGAGTTCAGGGACCATATCTCATCTAAATTTTATATTTCTCCCAGAATAATAAAATGCTCTGCATACTTAATAAATGTTTGTTGAATGGAATGGAACAAAATGTGAAGTAGTATTAATAGTCAAACAATAGCCAAGGGAATAGAGACTCCACATGCCTCTCCCGGGTCCCATAGCCTGCTTATTTACAAGAAATCTACTGGGCCAACATGTATTTGTGTTTGCTTTTAACT